CCAGGCTTCGGGCGCCCTGCCGCGCGAGCGCCGGGCTTCGAGCACCAGTCGCATTTCTGTACCACCGAAGGCTGCCAGTACGAGGGCCGCGCGCCCTGTGTCCAGCCCTTTTGCAGCGAGATGAACCGGCTCTGGGACGTGTCGCGCACCGAGCGCAGCCGCTGAGGCCGGCCTTGCGAAACTGACCGGGCCTGACGGTGGCGTGGTCATCGCCGGCCCCTGCTTTCATAATGCCGCCTGTTGCCCGCCACCTGCGCGGTTGACGTCTTTGGCCGGGATGTTTGACGAATGTGCAGCGATCATGCTGCGATCTGCATCCTGGCTGCCTTCAAGTCGCGGCTGGCCACCAGCCCGCCGCGCACCTTTCCAGCCACCCCCGTTGTGGCAGCCCCCGTCGCCGTTCGCGCATGCCCCGGGCCGCGCCGGTGTTGTGCCATCTTTCATTTCAGGAACCCGTTCAGGATGCGTTGTACCTCCCGCTTGACCCTTGCCTCTCTCGCCATCGCTGCCGCCCTGCCGGTGGCCGCCCAGTCATCTGGCGCCGGCTCCAACGTCACCATCAGTGGCTATCTGGACGCGGGTGTGTTCCGGGATTTCGACAAGACCAGCAAGCTGGGAACGATTCAGCGCAGCAACCTGGCCATTGCCGGCTTCGAAGACCTGGGCGGCGGCCTGAAGGCCACCTTCCGCCTGAGCACGCGCTTCGACCTGGACACGGGCCTGACCGAGGACTATCCGAAGAAGCCCTTCTGGCATGACGAGTCCACCGTGGGCCTGCAGGGCAACTGGGCCACCTGCGCCTGGGCCGCGCGCTCAGCGCCATGTGGAGCCAGAATGGCAGTTCGATCCCTGGGGCAACTTCAACCGTATCGCCTCGCCGGCCTGGCACATGGCCCACTACCTGACGCCCACCGACCGCGCCAGCAACAACGGCTCGCCGAATACGGCCGCATGTCCAACGGCGTGTTCTACGACTCGCCCAAGTTCGGCGGCTTTTCCCTGCACCTGAGCGCCTCGCCCGAACGCACCCAGGCGCCCGGCCGCCAGGGCCGTGCGCGTTCGGTATCGGTCAACTACGACCAGGGCGCGGTGGCGGCCATGGTGGCGCACGAGCGCAACGGCAGCGGCGACACCGACCTGTACATGGGCGGCAAATACCGCATCGGCACGGCAGCGGTGATGCTGGCCTATGACCGCAGCAAGTCGGGCACGCCCGGCACCGGCCCCGACAAATCGCGCATGGTCTCGCTGGGCGCCACCTACGGCATGGGCGCGACCACGCTCAAGGCCAGCTATGCGCGCCAGCGCCTGGACCGAGACACCAACAACATGCTGTCGCTGGGCGCCGAGTACGCGCTGTCCAAGCGCACCATGCTCTACACCAGCCTGGGCCATCAGCGCTACGAGAACCAGAGCTCGCGCACGGCCTTCGGCGTGGGCATGGCCCATTCGTTCTGATCAATGCGCTTCCCAGCGGCCTGACTGGGCTGCGCTGGTGATCCTGGCCAGGTCTGGAGCCGGCATGGGCTGAGGGGTGGCGGGCAGGGCGGTGAGTTCCATGCCGCGCTCCAGCTTGAAGACGCTCACGGCCTGCTGCAGGCCGTAGGCCTGTTCCTGCAGGGACTGTGCTGCTGCGGCGGCTTGCTCGACCAGGGCCGCGTTCTGCTGGGTGACCTGGTCCATCTGGGAGATGGCCTGGTTGATCTGCTCCAGGCCCGCCGTCTGCTCCACGCTGGCAGCGGTGATCTCTCCCATGATGTCGGTCACGTTGCGCACGCTGCTGACGATGTTCTGCATGGTCTGGCCGGCCTGCGCCACCAGGGCCGATCCGGTGCTGACCTTGCCGTTGGAGTCCTCGATGAGGAGCTTGATCTCCTTGGCTGCATCGGCGCAGCGTCGCGCCAGTGCGCGCACCTCGGCCGCCACCACGGCAAAGCCCCGGCCCTGCTCGCCCGCGCGCGCCGCCTCGACGGCGGCGTTGAGCGCGAGGATGTTGGTCTGGAAGGCGATGGCGTCGATCACGCCGATGATGTCGGCGATCTTGCGCGAGGAGGCATGGATGGCGTCCATGGTGTCCACCACCTGGGATACCACCTCGCCGCCTTGCTGGGCGACGGTCGAGGCCGAGGCTGCCAGCTGGTTGGCCTGGCGCGCGTTGTCGGTGTTCTGGCGCACGGTAACGGTGAGCTGCTCCATGGAGGCAGCCGTCTCCTGCAAAGAGCTGGCCTGGTGCTCGGTGCGCAGCGACAGGTCGTTGTTGCCCGAGGCGATCTGGCTGGAGGCCGTGGCGATCGAGTCCGTGCCGTTGCGCACCTGCCTGACGATGTGGATGAGGCTCTGGTCCATGCGGTGCAGCGCGTGCAGCAGCTGGCCTGTTTCGTCGGTGGTGGTGGCCTGGATGCGGCGCGTCAGGTCGCCTTCGGCCACGGCCTGGGCCACGCCCACGGCCTCGATCAGCGGCCGCGCCACGATGCGCGCCAGCGCCAGCGCCAGCGCCAGTCCCAGCGCGATGCTGGCGGCCAGCAGCCCCACCACCCAGGCGCGCGCGCTGCGGTACAGATCATTGGCGTGCCTGTTGGCCTCCTGGCCGGCATCGTGGTCGATCTGCACCATGCGGTCGATCTGGTCGTACAGGCGCCGGCTCAGCTCCAGCGATTCACCCTGCGCCAGCACCAAGGCTTCGTCCTTTCGGCCGTTGCGTGCCAGGGTCATGATCATGGCGTGCTCCCTGGCATATGCGCTGCGCAGCCGGCCCAGCTCGTCGTAGGACGCCCTTTCCTGCTCGGTTTGGATGAAGCTGGCGTAGT